GAACTCATCGATACTCACTGTCGGTCAGTTTTCACAGTTATCGAAAGTGCCACCCCAGTTGATGAGATATTCATTTTTGGTGACTTCAAACTGCCAGGCGTTTCGTGGAGTCCATCTCATAGCGGATTCCTGTATCCAGATCTACAGATCTACATTTCACGCAGGAGCTATTAGCCTTCTCGACAACGCTTTCTCAAATTAACCATGTAGTTAACGAAAACGATCGTAGTTTGGACCTCTGCTTCGTGAGCACACAGGACAGTGCTCCATTAATTTCCTCGGCTCCTTGTGAACTAAGCTAGTTCCACAAAACCCTCCTCTAATTGTCACTGTTAAGGACAAACTCATGCGTGATTTCGACGATTATCCTGCTACGGTTTCTTATAACTTCCGTAAAGCTGACCACCGTAGCATCATAGATGAATTGTCTAGCATGGTATGGGAGAACATCTTTGATCCAGAACACGTTGAGGCTGCAGCGCAAACCTTTTCACATGTCTTGGCATATGTCATTGACAGACACGTCCTGAAAAGAACTCACCACAAAGTGTCTCACCCTCCCTGACAGACGAGAGCATTGAGAAGATTTACGAAGTATCGCACGCTTCCTCTGAAACTACATTATGTGAGGCTGAATCACATGTACCAGCGAGTCAGTCGTGAATGCTTTTCAAGTTTCCAACGAGGCATCCAGCGCAAACTTAAGTTACACCCGAAACCCTTTTGGAACTACGTGAAAGAACAACGCAGGGAATTCGGCCTCCCATCGTCTATGGAATTCAACGGAGAAGTTGCTGCCACCGTTCAGGATATATGCCGCCTTTTTTCCGACAAGTTTGCCAGTGTATTCACTAATGAAATACTAACTGACGAACATATTGACCTGGCTGCCAGGAACGTTCCAGTAAATGATCAAACGCTGGGTGCGATTGATGTTAATGCTGAGATGATTTCTAAGGCCGCGATTCTGCTCAAGTCATCCTTCAATCCTGAACCTGATGGAGTTCCATCTGTATTTTTGAAGAGACATACAGCTAGCTTGTAAATTCCGCTTCTTCACCTGGTCCGAATGTCTCTCTCCAGTGGCATATTTCCATCTTGCTGGAAATTTGCGCATTTGGATCCCGTCCACAAAAAAGGAAGGAAACGAGCTGTGGATCACTATCGAGGAATTACATCGTTAAGTGCCGTTTCGAAGCTATTCGAGCTAGTGATTATGGAACATTGCAACATTGCATATGTTGTTGATAAGGCGTCAAGAACTTTAGGGTTCATTTTTAGGATAGCTAAAAACTTCACTGATATCTACTGTCTAAAATCTCTCTATTGTTCGCTTGTTCGATCGACGCTTGAATATTGTTCAGCGGTTTGGAACCCAAACTACAACAACGGTGCTGAGAGAATTGAATCTGTTCAACGTCGCTTTCTTCGTTTTGCGTTGCGTAGATTGCCTTGGAATGATCCGTTTGGATTACCCAGTTACGAAAGCCGTTGCCAACTTATCGACCTAGAACTTCTCCGGGCTAGAAGAGACACAAGCAGAGCCCTAACCGTGGCCGATATCCTGCAAGGAAGGACAGATTGCGAGGCTATCCTGTGGTAAATTGACCTGAATGTTCAACCCCGACCGCTTCGTAATAACCTTATGCTAAGACTGCCTCTACGTCGCACAAATTATGGAGCATACGGTGCGATTTGCGGACTGCAGAGAACCTCACTTCAAGTTTCCCTGACAATTATTCCCTTTGAATTCTCATCTGAATTCCCTTGAAATCATCCCTAAAGTTAGTTGCAAATTCTCATCAAATACATTCATTAAAGTCCATAAGCTGATAAATTTCTGCTAGGCCCCTATGATTCTTTAATATATGGGTTCATGGAAAACATTAAATGTCCGACGTCTTTAATATTTATTTACGTTCCAGATTCATGAAAATTTCTCCAAGTCTGATTGTATAAGGTAAATTTTATTTTCCAGAATCTACTCCAGAATGATCAAGTTCTAATCTAGATAGAGCTGGAATTAGGCCGTAACAGCCTTTGTAAACAATGACTTCTCGCGTAACATTTGAAAAGGGCCTATGTCCAAAATGTAAACAATCCAGAAAATGAATTGTAAATTTTTCCGCCAGTATTTAATTCCTATATAAATAAATTGAAGTATTTTAGGCATTTATATTGTTCACAATAACAATAGTAACTATATCTCAGTACACAACATCCAAAACATGCGAAACGTTTTCAAAAATACATGAAAATCGATAAAAATTTAATATCACAGTAATAAGCCTTTTTGTGAATCTTTAAATGGTTAGGCCCTTTTTGTTAAGCCGTTGTGCTTGTCATCATAAATTGTAGGCCCTTTGCTAAGCCTTTTCTTAACGTCAAATAAATCATCGGCCCTGCCTCAAGCAGTAGGGCCTAGCTACGAAATGAAATTTTTCAATCATCGGCCCTTCTACGTCGCTAGGCTTATGAATGGAACCTCATCGAACGAAAAAAAATATATGTTAGGCCCGAGGTTAGGCCGTTTTAGCATGAATGATTGGAAAAATTTCGTGGATCGGCCGTTTTTAAAATCAAGTTATTTTTAATGATGTTTATCGATAATGCGGAACATTCCTATACGACTGGTAGCTAATTAACAGTGCTACAGAATGGTTTCAAAAATCGGTTTGTTTACATTTTGATCATAGGCCCTATTCAAATGTTACGCGAGACTTCTCTTGTTGATTTCTCGAAATTCAAAGCACGCCTACACAAACCAACATAGAAGTCTTCCTCTACTCGATGGATATGTCGATTTGCCAGGGAGAGCCATGACTTCCGAGAAATCATCGAGAGAAGTAATTGTTTACAAAAGCTGTTACGCCCTGATTCCAGCTCTATCTAGTAATAGTAAAAGTGAATAATGAGAAAGAGAAAGTGGTATTTTGAAATGTTTTGAAATTTTTGAGAAGGTTCCTTGGCGTACTATTACATATTCTCTTCAAATTTACGAAGATTTCAAAATTCTATGAAAATTCCAGGTTTTTCCAGGAAAAATAATACTCTCTGGGAATTCCCGGTTTTTTTTATGTATTTAAAAGTTTTTAAGGACTTCAGACACCCTGATGAGAAGCAGGTGAATTTTTAAGATAATTAAAAAAAAATCTGATCAGAATTCAATAAGAATACATAATAAGCAGAATTTAATAGGTGTTCTGGAGGATAATAACAAAAGTTGAGACGTACATAACACGCAAGATACTCGAAATACGCTACGAAGGGGAGGGGCCCCAAATAGGTCAAACATATGGTACGTTATTAATGCATGATCCCTTAACGTTATTGGCAATTTATCAAGGGTACAAAATATTTCAAGTGCATGGGCCTGGAGTTTGAACCCACGATTCAATACTTGCTGAGAAATCCAAGCACGTTAAAAAAATCTAATTTTTTTTTATTCAATTTCGTTTTCAAATTCAATTCGTATTACTCAATGACCAAACATACACTGACGTTAGGGCATTTTCTTTACTTTGAAACCGGTTAAACAACCTGCCGTTACGTCAGCATTTCAAACAACTTGTACGGACAATAATATTCCGTTTCCGTTTGTCACAACTGAAGGCTTAAACTTTCTCTTCTAGTCATTCCAGTAAGATTTTTTCGCCGGCCCGGCTTACCATTTGGCGCCACCAGAACGTCTTTGACCTAAGATAAAAACATAAAACTGAAACGTGCTCGATGTATCAGACGCTTCTGAATAGAAGAAAAATCGTCCTAAAGCAAAATAGAGAACATTATTTCGATTGTTCAATGTGTTCAATCAGGGATGGCAATTATTTCTGCTTCGGAAAAAAGTAGGGTGAACCTGTCGGTAGCGGGTAAATCAAACACTTTTGTTTACATTCTGTCAAGCATGTTTGGTAATGACATGATGACTATATATACAGCCAAGTGAATGGAATTGGAAATTGAACTAGGGCTACTTCGAAGAGAATGTCGAAAGAAGCAACCAGGTAGGTTTCCTCTTGTGTTTGTTTTGACTCACATTATTCGTTAAGTTGGACTGATGATAAATATTAGTTAGGTAGGTAGTAGGTTTATGAAAGATTATTATACGGTCTCTTTTGCAATCTCCTGCCAGTACCATATGTCCCTATTGATCGACTTTCGTTTTCTTTTGTCACGAAACTATCAATACTTGGGGACGTTAACTTACGTCACTGGAGCGAGATGGTGCATGAAAGTGAATAGAACTCTATATTTAAAAAGACTGAATAGATTGTTCATGAACGCAGAAGAATATAGTGCATGAAATCCATGCACACGATATACGATTTATAACTATTTGATGCTTCAGTTCCACCATACCGTTTCCAATGCATCAAGGCACATCCCAGCCGCGTCTAATGTGGACCCTACACGATTGCTTGTATTGACAATAATCGTATTGTCAATACATTCTATATTGACGTCAATGTATCGAGATTGACAATATTTCTGAATTCACATCATCAATATTATTGTCAATAATTCCCCTTCGCGTCAATATATTGATGCATGTGGGGTTTGCTTAAGGGTACGGCCAGGGTAGACGCGATTCGCGACGCGACGCGACCAATTCAAAAGAATCTTATTATTTATTATCCTTGCGTGAGTCGCATCGCGTCGCGTCGCGTGTCGCGTCTACCCTGGTCGTTCCCTAATACTCTACTGAGAAGCAAGGACGAAATTTGACTACCTTTCAAACTTTGCAAGGGAGCATTTCTTTATTCTTTCTTGCCGTGATTATTTGTTCCTATCGGAGATGAAAATATGTGGGGGGATGGTAGATGAGTGGTAACGAAGCAAATTCGAAGCGTTCATTCTCCTCCAAGCATGCAAACTTCTCTGACACTGCTGTTGCTGCTACCGGTCTATGAGAAGTGTTTCTGATGTAGAGGGGGTCGATAATTGCGGGTACGGTTCTATGTGAATTATTGGCGAAGCCCCGTACTTGGGCCAACACTTACCGCTCTAACCTGTCGGTTGAACATGTAACAGATGCAGGTCCATATTTTCGATGCTAACACTAGGAACGCACGAAAGTTCATTTGAAATTGAGACAACATTGGCATCGTCCACCAGCACTGCTCCCGGCGTTATCCTTTCGCCCAGCCACGGTTCCCTCTTCCAGCGGGTTGAGTTCCGACGACGAAGGATTATTTTTCCTAGGCTTGCAAGCACTATCTTCTGCTCAAGACTTTATCGGAATACGGATGAACTGCAAGCACTCCACACTACGATTACGAGTACATCAACTACACGCGAAAATCACCAAAATGAAACCAAATTTGCTGATAAATAAAAAAAAAAAATCTTGACGACGAAGACGAAAAAATGCTCGCGCTCGAAAGAAATCACATTTTCTTCTTCTTCTACTACTGCTGCTGCTGGTTGGCTGGCAAGGCAATCTTCGCTCGCCTTTTCTCGGTTGCGGCGGCCCCAAAAAACGCAAACTCTCTCACCACATACACGCACGGCGACAGACGGGGATGATTTTTGCAAAAAAATTAAACGCTTCTTCGCTCCCGAGCGACGGATTGTACGAAAACTTTCCACAAAATTTTCCGATCTACTCCAATACACGACACCTCGGAAGATGACACGGTCGAACGCGATTTTTTTCCTATTTTCCGCGACACACGCCAAGAGGAAGGAAAAACTTTTTCTTGGTCAGCTTATTTTCTGTACTGTATAGAGGTAACCGCGAGTAGTTCGGCCGTCCTTCCTGCGCTAAGTTGTGTGTCTTGCCACCAAAATGATGCCTCCTGTGTGTGGAGTGGAAGAAAAACTCTGCTCTAGTCAGCGAAAAGCAGGCAAATTTTGTGGAAGTGGGTGTGCGTGTGTGTGTGAGATCTGTCACTCAAAATTCAAATTGACAACCGCGGCAGATGGGGTACTAGAATGTTGTCATTTTATGTCAACCTACGTGGCAAAGTTCACTTTTCGGGGAAATGTAAAAGACGCACTCACACATTATGTTACGTGCAGCAGAAAAAGCAAACTGAGGGGTTCGTGGATTTTCCTAGCTTGGGACCGAAGAGAGTACCAGAGCCGAGGGGGCGACACATCTATATCTTAATTCCAGATACTCAGCAAATCTCACGCGTTTCACTCGTTTCGAAATCGTTAATGCCAACCAGTGGAAACTAACGATTCCAAATTGGTTCAATACTTGACCAAGTACTTGACTGGCCTATTTGTCCCAAGCAAATCGATTATCATTCCCATTATAGTTGAAAGTCTAGTACTACACTATGTTTGGTTTGATTCGCTTACACGCTAACTTGAAAGTACCCATTAGTGAATAAAAAAATAAGAAAAGTGACTTAACTCATTAAATGAGTAAAACCATAGAGGTAACTCTAAGACTAGAAGGTCCCGAAATAACGTGCTCAACTTTTTGGCTCAGCTCTGGTACTCTCTTCGGTCCCAAGCTAATCGATTCACCCCTCGAAACATTGGAAAATACACGAACCCCTCATTTTATCTGTCAAACTTTCATAGTGAATCAAAGCAAACATAGTGTAGTACTGGAATTTATACTAGAATGGGGTACGTTAATCGATTTGCTTGGGACCAGTAGGCTAGTCAAATAGTGAACCAATTTAAAATCGTTAGTTCAGTGCCAACATTTCAAAGGGGCGTAATTGCTCTTGTAAACAATGACTTTAGCCGTCAATTTCTCGCGAATGAAATCTTACCTCTCCAAAATAGCAATGCTAGCTGGTAAAGGAAACATTCCTCTACCTGCTGGTGTCATTATTTTTCATGAGTGAGCTTTTACTCGCGAGAAATCGACGGCTAAAGCCATTGTTTACATATATGCAATTACGCCCCTTTGAAATGTTGGCACTGAGTTTCGAATTGATTGTTGGTAAAACCAAGTTTACTCATTATTGAGTGTTCGACGAATACTTCAAAAAATGGGTTTTTTATTTTTTCTGCCCATGGGTAAACAGTAATGTTTTTTAATGTTTGCTTCATGGGGCTGCCTGTTATTAAATTTTAAACAGGTTAAACTAATAAAAAAGTATAATTGTCAATTTATTTTTCATTATTTTTATTGAACAAGAATCAATATTAAACGGATTCAAATATGTATTGGTGAACATTTAGCTATTTCTTATACATTCATTGACCAAACAAGGCATTAAGTAGTGCTTCCGTAAGATCGTTTTCCTCATATGAGCACAGCAGGAATCAATTCGATGATGAATGTTGCTTATCGAAATCGTTCAGATAATTGAGCATATGTCGTTTTCCTTCTCGAAGATCTCTGCTAATCTGGAACAGGAACACTTGTTAGAATTTCAGCATGGTTTCATGTCTTATTCTTACCTCGTAACAACCGGAACTGCCGTCCAAAGCACTATTCTCCTGTGCTCGTTTTTAGCCTTAATGAACATCGGCCGAGATCACATCTACGAGAATTTCGACCGATTTGCAAGAATGACAAGACATTTCGCAATCTGAATACACCGTGTTTTTATGTTTTCAAATCATCAGACTGTTGTCAATTATTACTATTATTACTAATTTTTTCTGCCTTAAGATATTTTCAAAAATGAAAAAAAAAATACCCTTTTTAATCTTTTTGAAAATACCCATTGTTTGACATATAAGAACAAAATATAAAAAAAATAGTACAAGATACTCATTACATGCGTACTTTCGAGTAAGCGTGTATGAAAGTTTGACAGATAAAATGAGGGGTTCGTGGATTTTCCGATGTTTCGAGGGGTGCATCGATTAGCTTGGGACCGAAGAGAGTAACAAAGCTGAGCCAAAAAGTTGAGCACGTCTCTTCGGAACCTTTTAGTCTTAGAGTTACCTCTATGGTAATGCCAAATGTGGTTGAAACGAAAAAAAAAAATCTCGGATCGAGATGCGCAATACCACCCTAGATTTAGACCACATTCAGTCTATTAACTATATTCTCATTTCCGTTCAAATCGTATTTTTTTTGTATGTAAAGTATGGTTCGAACGTAAACCAGAATATTGGTATATATTTTTAATTCTTCAAAAGATTTGTCATTACGTAAATTAATATTCAAGAATTAAACTAACTGCAATGTAAATAACATGTTTCGATATTAATCGAGATTGTAAAGTGGAAAGAGAGAAGTTACACGCAGAGAAAGAATGTACAAACATATCCGAAGTAAGCTTCTAATCAACGGAAGGAGAAAAGACCTGTCTGGAAATATCCTATATAAATAGGTTATCTAATGAAAGGACAATGGAATGTATATGTCATTTTTATCTCTGACAACAATAAATATTTATGAACATTCTTTAATATTTTGTATCGAGTTTATCAATATTTACAACAAAAATAATGACTCATATACATCTATGAAAGTATTCCCCATCCGGGCAAGTATTCCAATCTGTAGGTCATCGATTCGCATAAAAGCAGGCATTCAAAATAGTCATTTGACTGGGTTTGTTGCTATCAGTATAAAAACGGGCCGCATCCATCGCTAAACCTTCCCAAGTAATTCTAGAGCTTGGCTTAAGCCTCCAGGGCTATTTTCTTGCCAGACCGCTCCGAATCTAGAAGTCAAGAATGTTGTTAGGTAATAATAATACTTCATCAACGAATAGATGGTACCTTTCTCCTTCCGCCGCTTCTCGGGCGTCGGTTCATCCTCGGGCACAACGGGCAACCTTTCGCCAATATCCTCTTCCTCTGTAGCCTTCTCCTCGTCTTGGCCTCCAACGAGCTGCTCCAACTCGGCCAGCACTTCATCTTCGTCCTCCTCGGTCAGTACACCGTTCAGCAGTGCGTCAATCTCCTGCTGCTTTTCGATGCTCTCTCTCGTTTCGTCCAGTATCTGTTCAACCTCTTCGATCGAGAGGATTTCGTTCACCTTCTTCAGTGCTTCGTTGCCGACCTTGAGGCCACTGATGACCTGCGCTTCCACCTGGGCAAATTCGATGTCGGACGCTAGTTTCTCTATCGTTTCAATCTGAGCGTCCGCGTTGGACAGGAGCTTTTCCTGGTACTTCTTCTTACGAAGCAGCGTTTTCGCTCGTCTAAGGTTTAAGATTTGAAATTTGGCCAGTTATTAAAACCGATGTACGAAACTCAAAAACTACTCACTCTTTTCGACCAGTCGCCAAACATTTTTTCGCCATCTCTCGATCTTTCCCCAACTGAAGTTCAATCCGTTTCTGGTACTGTTTCAATTTGTCTCTTTGTTGTTTAAGTTGCTATTGGGTGCGGATAAAAGCGAAATTTAATCGAACTTTTGATTTCTGCTTCGCGTCTACTTACCAGCACTGCTTTGTCGTGTTCGGTTACTCTGCTCACTTTAGCTTTACTGCTCGATTTACCGAACAAGTTTCCCATTGTATGCCTGATTTAATGATATGCTCTAGGGGATGTAACTAAAAATTACTAATTAAATTACTGATAAATCGCTTAATAAACGCAAAAAGTTGATTCCAAAATCAGCTGGCGATGAAGAGGGGATGAGTCAAGATGTTTTGGTGTTGTGACAATTTGCGTTTTTGTTGTTATCAAAGTTTTATTTTTGTTTATCTCCCCATGTGTACCATGTGGTAAATTTTAGTTGAGAAGGTACTAGAATATCGCGACCATCGAATGAAAAAGGTCTATCAGCTTTTGTTTACAAAACTATGTAAGCCCTTTCCATGCAAAGCATAGGCCGCCTACGCAAATCAACAGGATAATCGATTAGGAAAAATTTCCTCTACACGATGACGCCATTGATTTACGTGGGCGGTGGCCTTCGGTTTGCGAGGAGAGGGCTTACAAAGTGTTGTTTTCAAAAGCTGATAGGCTTTTTTCAATTGTTGGTCGAGATATGTTTTCGATATCGAGGATTTAATCGCGCAGGAATACACTGTCCCGAAACATCATGTTATTACAGAGCAGTATATTGAATGAATATTTTATCTATTGTGGAAATCTAAGAGAAGAGGTGACAACCCGCATAAACGAGAACCATAAATTGACCTTACCTAAAATGGTTAAAAATTGTTTATAATCCCTGCTAAACTTTAACTGAAATGGTTATGGAACTTTACATGAACGTTTAATGATAAAGTTTCAACCTTATGTATTATGGTTTTTTGGAACTGGACCTTACAAATAATGGGTTGTTAAGAACCATTACCATTCCAAATTCTTGTTTTCTCCATACATTTTCAGAAAGAGAACTATATAAGAACGTTTTTACTTATGATTTGAGAACATTAATGGTAATGGTTATGGTAGTCAGTAAGGTCCATTAATGGTTTTGTATTATCGCTCAACTTTACGTGGAATATATCGTGAATTGGTAATCAGTAAATTACAGGCAACCAATTCACTAAGATCCAGCAAAATAAAATGGCAACCTGCTCGGTAGAGCCCATCTCGGCAAAAAAATCTAAGTGTGTAGGTGAAACTTTGCTCATTCTGGAGCGTAACAAGAATCACAAGGTGATACGTTTATGTTCGGTTCGTTATGTGGATGAAATAAAAACTTTTCTCTGTTAATAGATTTATTTTTGATACATATACATGATATTTATGTCTGATTTTAAAAATCATATTCATAGTTGTTATTTCAGTGATTTCTCGGTTTTGTAATCCCCAAAAATTACGTATGCCAAATTTATCACAGTCATTGCCAAGATAGATGAAATAAATGCAAAGAAATGAGACTAATTAAATTTATTTGAAAAGGAGGATGACAATATCCGGAATTCACCGTTCTTATTATTCGATCTAACTCTAAGTAGATTGGATCATATACAATCCTGTTAAAAATTGTATATGTGGAGTTACACATAGTTTTGTAGCATTCAAACGATTTATTATGGTGTGTAGAAGATTTCTATTTTTTCTGGGAATCTGAGTTCTTATGGATATCCGATACGCACGTCAATACAACGGATCATTCACGAACATGGAATCCAACAGCTCGAGGCGCTTGGCATTCGGAAAGTCGATAAAAGCAATTCCATCATTTGTGATGTTGAGACATTTGAAGGTCGGCTTGGTTTCCTTGACCGCTTCCCACTGCAGCTCCTTTGTTCGTTCGCAGTTTGGATCTCCATTGGTGGCAAAAGACGTAAACACGTCGACCATCGTCTGCAGAGCACGATACTCGAAACTGTCTTCAGCGGGAACACTTCCGGTGAAGTTGGAAAACAAGTAGGATATTTCGTCGGAATGTGCCGTTCCCCGATAGGTTGGATCGATCATCATTATGCGGTAGTGATTGAAGTGCTCCGAATCGACACAGAAACGGTAGACGAACGTACGGGCAGATGAGCCGTTGTTTGCTCGTACTAAAATTGTTCGGTGCATTCCGTGCCAAAATCCAAGATCAGTCATCATATCAACATATCCACCAAAATTATCTATTGAAGGCTCGCTGTCCGGATAGTACATTTGCTTCAACTTCCCGGCAAATTCCATGCGCTGTTCCATTGTAATCTTCAACCTGGCTGGTACGGTTCCCACGAACAGATGGGGATTCTGCAGGGCTTCCGGGTGCAGTTTGATTTTTTGCATGATCAGCAAGCCTTCTTCTGATGTACCCCCGATCATTATATCGATCTCATTTCCCCATGCTTCACGATTCATTTGCAGTGGGTCTTTCTGTATCATACAGCCTTCAGTGATATAAGGTTCAATAGTCGGACCGAATGGCGTAAAAACACCGTCCCTAATATCTTCTGGTCCCATCAGTTTCTCCTGGTTGTTGATAATATCTTCCGGTGTGACCGTACGTAGGAAGCTCAGCGCTTCCGATTCGGCTCCTTTTCCATCCCACCCAAGGGCCTTGGCCAGTTTTTCTACCCAGTTACGCTGTGGAGACAGCCCCCAACTGCAGTAGGTGCTTCCGGACATAACGATCGCTCGCTTGAACAATCCTCTGGAAGCTTCCGAAATTAGGTGATACTGCACTGAACATGCTCCAGCGCTATGCCCGAACAGAGTGACCGTTTCCGGATCACCTCCGAAGGCGGCAATGTTATCCTTCACCCATTTGAGGGCTAAATTTTGATCCTTCAACCCGGCATTTCCGGGTACGCCGTCATCTGCGGATTGACAACACAGGAATCCTAACGCTCCCGTGCGGTAGTTGAAATTGACCAAGATGACGTCCTTTTGCAGTAGAAAGTCGGGCCCGTAAAGTTCGTTTCCGCTCGTGCCCTCGGTAAATCCACCACCGTAAATGTAGACCATCACGGGGAGGGGTTTTGAAGGGCTGGTCTGCTGAATACAAACGTTGCTGTAATTAGCTGTAATGGCGAATAAATCGTACTGACTTACCGTCTTGGTAAACACATTGATCTTGAGACTATTCTCGCTACCGACGATCTGGTTGACGCGACGATCGAAATGGTAGCACGGAAGGCTCTGTTCCGTGCAGTCCAAGGGCTCGGCCCATTTTTCCGGGGCCACAGGAGGCTAAATGAAAGAAGAGTAAATTCAATTAAATTATGATTGCATTATGATTATAACTATGTTGAGTTTATTTATATAAAATTTAGAATAACTTTTGCAGTCCTACATATGGAAATGAACTGGTAATTACTTGTTGAAGCCCGACACTATCGGTCGAGATCAGCTATGGTAGGTTATATACGAATACGGACTTCCAGATAAATTCCCGTGATTACTCCAGGTGACGATGAATCGTGTGATGTGCGTCGTTAGTACCCGAATAGAAATTGTAATGTAGGAAACATCAGCAGACATCTTCAATACATTAAATTTTAATGTGTATTGCTGTACCCTTAATGTATTCAGACTTCAGTGTGACATCCAAGTACATAAAAATACATTAGCCTCAAACGTTACATCAGAATCAAACGTCTTGACGATGTCAAATTTGACATCAGAATACATCCAATGACAACAGAACCTAACGTTACATTAGAATCAAACTTCATCACGATGTAAATTGTTGTCCTTCGGTCCCTCGCCGCATGCAAAGTTTGTTTTGTCCTGAGTCAGCACTACACGGCGAATGAGAACACCCAAATTTGAGTTTAGTTCACTCATAAATCGCAAAAAGTACAGGAACTCAGTTTTGAGTTAATTTCCCTCTGTTTTTCCAGGTTTTCTAGGTTTTTCCAGTAAAATTTTTCCGAATATAAGAAAAGTAAAGATTGGATTCTGTGGATTTTCGTCAATCCTAATTTTCCGGAGGATTGTTGAAGTTTTCCACCGGAAAACATGAGGCAAATCTCGAGGCAAATTTACTCATCGCTGCGTTCCTGCATTTTTTGCGATTTTGAGTACACTGTATTCAAATTTGGGTTGATCACATTGACCGTGTACAGTTTTTTTTTTCGCGGTGTCCGTCGCGAGTTTTGGTGGCGATTCGGTGTCCGACGTTGCGGCAAATCCTTTGGTTTGTTTTTTCCGTCGATCTTGTTTTCCGTGCTGAGCACCAATGCTACCGACGTGCCAGGAAGGCAGCTCCCACACCTGGACCCCCGCCAGTTTCGAAGATTGCGAGTCCCGCGATCGCCCTTGGAAAAGGAAGGCTGTTTTTCAGGTAAGTAAAATTTAAAATTTTAAATTAATGTACTGTAATTATGTTTTTTTTTAGGAAAGTGCACCAGTGCGAAGCCGGATCCCGGTAGGGAGTCCGAAGCTGGATCCCGGCGGGGAATTCGAAGCCGGATCTCTTGCAGGTTAGTGAATGTGTTTATTGTTTTTTTTATTTGATTGACAAATAAATAAATAAATAAATAGGGGGAAGAGGGGCATAGTGAGCATCCCGCAGTTTGGCTTTGGATCTCCAGCTGCATGAAACAAATCAACTGGTAGTAGGTTCAATATCATTATGATATTGATCCTACCACCAACCATTTTTTTTCCGAACAGCCGGAAGTTCAAGCTGGATGCTCACTATGCCCCACCTGTTCACTATGCCCCTCTTACCCCTACTAAAAGCTAAAATAAAGTGGAAAATGACGGGTTCCGTAGGCGGATCCCGATGACGGGTTCCGTAGACGGATCCCGATGACGGGTTCCATCGACAGATCCCGATGGGGAAACCGAATACGGGTCCCGATGGGGATTCCGTAGACAAATCCCGATGGGGATTTCGTAGACGGATTCCGATGGGGAAACCGAATACGAATCCCGATGGGGAAACCGAATACGAATCCCGATGGGGAAACCGAATACGGATCCCGATGGGGAAACCGAATACGGATCCCGATGGGGATACCGAATACGGAGCCCGATGGGGAAAACGAATACGGTTCCCAATGGGGAAACCGAATACGCATCCCGATGGGAAAACCGAATACGGATCCCGATGGGGAAAACGAATACGAATCCCGATGGGGAAACCGAGTACGGGTCCCAATGGGGAAACCGAATACGGATCACGATGGGGAAACCGAATACGGATCCCGATGGGGAAACCGAATACGAATCCCGATGGGGAAATCGAGTACGGGTCCCAATGGGGAAACCGAATACGGATCCCGATGGGGAAACCGAATACGGATCCCGATGGGGAAACCGAATACGCATCCCAATAGGGATTCCGTAGACGGATCCCGATGGGGAAACCGAATACGAATCCCGATGGGGAAACCGAATACGGATCCCGATGGGGAAACCGAATACGGATCCCGATGGGGAAACCGAGTACGGGTCCCAATGGGGAAACCGAATACGGATCCCGATGGGGAAACCGAATACGGATCCCGATGGGGAAACCGAGTACGGGTCCCAATGGGGAAACCGAATATGGATCCCGATGGGGAAACCGAATACGGATCCCGATGGGCAAACCGAATACGGATCCCGATGGGGAAACCGAGTACGGGTCCCAATGGCGAAACCGAATACGGATCCCGATGGGCAAACCGAATACGGATCCCGATGGGGATACCGAATACGGAGCCCGATGGGGAAACCGAATACGGATCCCGATGGGGAAACCGAATACGGATCCCGATTGGGAAACCGAATACGGATCCCGATTGGGAAACCGAATACGGATCCCGATTGGGAAACCGAATACGCATCCCAATAGGGATTCCGTAGACGGATCCCGATGGGGAAACCGAATACGGATCCCGATGGGGAAACCGAATACGGATCCCGATGGGGAAACCGAATACGGATCCCGATGGGCAAACCGAATACGGATCCCGATGGGGAAACCGAGTACGGGTCCCAATGGCGAAACCGAATACGGATCCCGATGGGCAAACCGAATACGGATCCCGATGGGGATACCGAATACGGAGCCCGATGGGGAAACCGAATACGGATCCCGATGGGGAAACCGAATACGGATCCCGATGGGGAAACCGAGTACGGGTCCCAATGGGGAAACCGAATACGGATCCCGATGGGGAAACCGAATACGCATCCCAATAGGGATTCCGTAGACGGATCCCGATGGGGAAACCGAATACGGATCCCGATGGGGAAACCGAATACGGATCCCGATAACTCAAATCTTCTTAATATTAATTTCTTTAAATTAAATCAAGAACTTTATTATTCTCTTCCGCAATCGTGGGGATGGGAGTCCCAACAAACAATTAAAAGTCACAAATAAGCATATATATTGAATAAATGCTGTATAACAGTGTACAATGCTGAATAAAAAGAGTTGTCGAATTATGTGCTGAAAAAGCTCATTGTTCCACTCTGATCTGATTAATTTACTTATTAAAAGCTGTAAAAGTGTTAAGTGTCTTCCCAATTCAACGCCAGAAGTTCGATCTAATAACAAACTGAATAAGTGTAATTTGTACATACATTGACACTTTAATTCGACTGTTTTCAATTGATTTAATAACATGCTTTATTAGACGTCTAATAAATGTTCTCCAGCTCCTTTATTAGATTTCATTGCATTACTTTACAATATTGCTGAATAAAGGTGAATACAGTCAGCATAATAGCTCTTATACAACTATGCGTCCATGTTGTAATCACATGATTTGTAAATGCTTTATAAACGACGTATTAGCATAGAGGTAACTCTAAGACCACTGGGTCCCCAAGAAAATCATTATTATTTTTGGCTCACTCAGTACCAGAACAACGGTCCCAAGCAGTCCCAAGCTATTTCACTCACCCCTGCATGTTCTGCATGAATCCACACACCCCTGATGTTATCTGTCAAACTTTCATAGCGAATCAAAACAAACATAGTGTAGTAATAGAATTTCAACTAGAATAGGGTACGTTAATCGTTTGTTTGGGACCAATAGGCTACTAAAGTGGTGAGCCAATTTAAAATCGTTAGTTACGTATTGATTGTTGGTATTAGCATAGAGGTAACTCTAAGACCACTGGGTCCCGAAGAAAATCATTATTATTTTTGGCTCACTCAGTACCAGAACAACGGTCCCAAGCAGTCCCAAGCTATTTCACTCACCCCTGCATGTTCTGCATGAATCCACACACCCCTGATGTTATCTGTCAAACTTTCATAGCGAATCAAAACAAACATAGTGTAGTAATAGAATTTCAACTAGAATAGGGTACGTTAATCGTTTGCTTGGGACCAATAGGCTACTAAAGTGGTGAGCCAATTTAAAATCGTTAGTTTCGTATTGATTGTTGGTATTAGATTCATTATTCGACAACACTGATTCAGTATTACAGCAAGGCGAAATCAGTAGAGTAGTGGTTACCGTTTCCGCTTTTCAATTAGAAGGTCGTGAGTTCAATCCCAAGCTCAACTTTTTTTATTTGTGTAGAACATAATTAATTTAAATAGTAATATCGATCACATGACTCACGATAATGAATGCATTGATATAGTTTAGAATTTAACCGAACATCCTTTCTTTCAACTTGGAGTTGTGAAGAGGCAACATTGGTATCATTTAAAACAACGACGAATGAATTAATCATTCCCACAGGGCCTTGAAGGAGCTAGAGTTGCGATCGGGAGTGCTGATAGGTATCTTCTTTCATGCAAGCTTTTATAGGTTATTGAGTTGCCCATATGATGAATTCTAGGATAGCTCAGATGACAAGGCAAGCTGCTGGTGATCAGAAGGTACATGGTTCGAATCCCATACAATAATGGCATGTATAAGTATTTAATAAATTTTCTAATATCTGTGTGGTGCGAGCCACGTCAGAAATATTGAAATACAATACACTTAAGAAACACAAAACACCCTTCCCCCCCCCCTTTGTCCTCCTGTCCCTGTCTGTCCTCTTATTTTCGGGTTAATTTTCCCACAGTTGAATAATTGTTTAATAAATGTATAATAATGTATAATTAAACGTTACTTCACATGAGAATCAAGCGTATACAGAGCATCACTGTTTTAAGGAAGCAGTGATGTCTAATAAACACTGAATAATCAAAAATGTTATCGTATAAAAACTCTGTTACAACTCATAAGTCGATTAAAAACTTCTCGACATACCTTATAAACAACACCAGTAGTTCAATGTTGAGG